CCAACCCAATTACTACCACCACCACCCACAAGCACGCACCTGCAGCCTCCCCTTCAGGTAGAGGTACACGCTGTGCTGCACGCTGCGGTCCAGCGCCTTCCACAGCGGCTTGGCTGCCGCCGCCGCCGCCCCCGCCGGCTGCTGCGCGCCCGGCGCGCCACCGGATGCTGCGTCGGCCCCTGGGATGGGCGGGGAGGTGCTGCTGCTGCTGCGCGGCGGCGGCGCCTCAAAGTCGTCGTCGGAGCCCACTGCAACATACAAAGCGGGAGGGGAAGCAGATCAGACGGGGTGTGAGGAGCCAGGCCCGAGCTTCCAGCCTCGGTTGACGAGGGGAGGGGGATCTGTCGTGCTCTGGCAGGAGACTGCTGGGACGGCTGGGGCGGGGCACTGCCTCTGCAGGGTGCACAACCCCACAGCCACCCACTGGGCCACACTCCACCACCGTTATCATCACCAGGCGCATCTCCCTACCTGGCACTGCCGTGACCTTGGCGGCTATCAGCTGCCTCAGCTGCTCCTCGCTCACAGCCTTGCCTTCCTTGCCCTTCTTCTCCTACACGCAGGCCGAGCCACGGCGCGCCTGGCTGAGCACGCACGCGCAGCAGCAGCAGCAGCAAACAGCTCGCAGCAGTGGAGGCTGCGTGCAGGCTGCATGGGCTGCCGGTATGCCCGCTGCATCTCGCCCCTCCCATGCCGCCGCCCGCTGCACCTTTGTGGCGGTACTCAGGTACGCCTTCAGGCTGGTGCGCGATGCAAAGGGGCTCAGGAAGGACAGCAGCTCGCTGACAATGCGGGTGGAGGCGGGCTGCAGGGCAGGGGCACACAGGGTGGTGCGGCGGCCGAGCGAGGCGGAGGGTGCGAGCGGGCGTGCAGTGGATGGCTCAGTCACCACCCTGCCACATGCACACGGCAAAGAGCATCCAGTCCTCCAGGTTGCAACCTGGACGCCATCACTGACAGACAAGCGCTGCCTTAACCCCCACGGCGACCCCACAACCCACCAAGCCAAACGCCTCGCTCTGCTGCAGGTAGAGCGGGGAGAAGGCCTCCAGCGCCGCCTTGATGGCCTTGGGCAGCGACCGCCGCTGCTTCTTGCCCTCCTCCCCCTCGCCCGCCGGCGGCACGGGCGCAGGCGCCGGCTGCTGCGCAGCAATGGACCTGATGTGGGCGATGCCAGCCGCCACCTCAGCGGGCATCTCGTAGGGCGCTGCGGGCAGGGCAGGCAGGGTGGTGGTGCGCAGGTTTCGGGGTTGGCTTGCCTGCCAGGATGAGATGAAGGCAGGCCGCTCGCATGCGCTGCTGCCAAGGCAGACATGCACTGCGCACACCCAGAAGCCTCACCCTTCTTCTTGGCAGATGCCGGCGGCTGCGAGCCCGAGCGCTGCGACAGCAGGCCGCCGCCGCCAGAGGCTGCCGCGGCTGCAGGTGCCACGCCTCCCGCCGCCATCTGTCCAGCCAGCCGAGCCTGCTCCGCAATGGACAGCTTGGCCCCGGGCAGCGATACTGCCGCTGCTGCAGCGCCTCCCACCGCCTCTGGCACAATCTTCTTCTTCTTCTTGGCTGGCTTGTCGGCGCCCTCGCCACCCTCGCTGTCCGCCCCATCCTGCTTCCGCTTCTTCTTCTCCCCTGCTGCCTTGGCCTCCTGCAGGGCAGACAAAGCACAGCCGCACTAACGTTAGGGGCGGCAGGCAGCAGGCAGGCAGAAAAGATGCGGCGAGCTACCAGCAGGCTGGCAGCGGCGGCCCACCTTGGCAGGCAAGGCTCCCTCTGCCCCCGCCACATCCTCCTCCGCCTTGCGCTTTCCACCACCGCCGCCCTTCTTGCCCTTCTCCTTGTCCAAATCCTCAAAGCCCGGCAGCATCTCCTCGGTGCGCTCAATCTCGCCCTGCAGGCGGCGCACAGGCAGACCGGCAGAGCAAACTGTGCGTTGGCGGGCCCCCAAGCCATGCAAGCAGAGCGCAGGAGATGCCGCCACAGCGCAGTGGGGCCCATGCCCGGCGGGCGGCTGTGCACCCCACCAGTGCAGCACCACCAGCTCACCCTGCTGATGAAGAAGCCTGTGTGCTTGGGCTTGCGCTTGTCATGCTGCACAAACTCGATGAATTCTGCGGGACAAGCGGGCGGGGCCAGGGACGCAAGCATCATGAACAGGACACACCACAGCCCTGCTGCACAGCCCTGCTGCCGCTGCCGTCCAGATGCGGCCGCCTTCAGACAGCTCATGCTGCCCCCAAACCACCCGCGGCACCAGGCCGGGCAGGCGTGCGGGCTGTGGGCGCACCCTGGTCGTCAATCCACTCATCCATGTAATCATAGTCCTGCCCCCGCTCCCCACGCTTCCCCTTCCTCCCCTTGTCGCCCGCGCCGCCGCCCTCGCCGCCCGCGCCACCCTCGCCGCCCGCTCCGCCCTCGGCCCCGCCCTCCTCGCCGCCGTCCGAGGCCTTGCCGCCGCCCTCCTCCCCCTCCTCTTCCGTGTCGCTGCCGCTGTCGCTGGCCTCCTCATCCACCTCATCCTCATCCTCGTCAGCATCAGACAGCGCCCCAACCTGCACGCCGGCACCAAAGCAGCTCAAACAGGGGTCGGAGAGCGAGCGTTGCGATCCAGCGTTGCGATTCACTGGGCGAACAAAAAAATCGAACATGATATGAAAAATGATACGCTACGGCGGCGGCCGCCTGCTGTGAACGCTGCGCTGCAGCGCCCGCATCCACAGCACACTCACGCAGTAGGTGGCCTCCAGCTTGGCCAGCATGCGCGTCCAGGTGTTCTCCTGCCGCGCGCTGCGCCCCTGCACATATAAAATGGCGACCGCCACCGGCGCAAACATGCATGGCGTAACTGGCAGCTGAGTCGATGTGCCGATCCCATGGCACCTGGCATATGCGCCCACATGCCGGCGGCTCCCATCATATATGCAGGCAGGCCAACCGCCACAGACTGCCGCCGCCAGCTTGGGCTGCACGCACCCGCAGCAGCAGCGGGTCGTCGCTGCCGCCATTCTCGGCCTGCTTGGCTGCCTTGCTGGGCTTCTGCACCCCTCTTTCTTTGAGTATCTGCAGGTGGTAGCGCAGGCGGGGTCAACAGTCGGGAGCAGGGTGCTGGCCGGCACGGGAAGGTGGGCGGGTGGCGGACAGCTGCGTGCGGGCCGGCTGGCGGCGGCTGCTTCACCTGCCGCCAGTCCACCTCCTGGTTGGAGGCGTCTGTCAGATCCAGGAAAACCTTGCGTTCAGGGCCCAGGTGCTCTCGCGCCCACTCCGATTGTGAGCGCTGAGCCTCTTGCTGCAGGAGCTGCTGCGGGGCTTCCGGCAAAGTGGGCAGCGCCCCTGCAGTGCCCTCGACGTCGGCATCCCGCTCGAGAGGGCTCTGAACCAACTGGGGCACTATGCGCTTGCGAGGCTTGGCCTGCGCAGCCATACTGCCCGATCGTGGCTCCGGGCGTCACTCAGAAACTGACAGGCGAGGCGCAGACATCAGGAAGTGGCGGGTGGGCCGAGGGAGCCCAGCAGATTTTTGGATGACGGGACAGTCCGTACGTCCGCCGCCGCCAACCCGCCCGCACTGCCTCCACGCCCCCCTTGAAGGGTAATAGTTTACATCAAGCAACCTACCATGAGTCTACAGCAAGGATATGAGAAACGGTGCAGCAGTTGAGTGAACACAGAAAGGGGGGCTGGCAGTGCGCTGCGGCACCGCCAATGCCCCGAACAGCAGGGAAGGAAACAGAGGCTCCAACAGTCGTTGGCACGAGGGCAGGAAAATCGCGGAGAGGAAAGAATGACGCCCGCTAGCTGCCGCACGTCCGCTAGCCGCCGAAGGCCCTCCTCCCGGGGGGGCGCGTGTCAGCTGGCGGGCGCGGCGCGGCCGCCCTTGCCGTTGACCCGCGTCAGCAGCTCCCTGATCTGCGCCCCCGTCAGCGTCTCCTTGTCCACCAACTCCTGCACACAGGGCACAGGCACGCATGCGACAGCCGATGGGGCTGTGCTGCACGCATGCCGCTGCACACAGGTTGCGGTCTGCCAGGGCCCCAACCCCTCCTGGCCGCCGCCCCTCTGCTGCTGCCACCAGCGCCTCAAGCGCGCCCCATCTGCGGCGCCGCGCCGCACCTGCGCCAGCGCGTGCAGCTCCTTCTCGTGCTGCTTCAGCACCGCCGTGGCTCGCGCGTACGCGGCGCTCAGCAGGCTCTTCACCTCATCCTCCACCAGCGCCCGCGTCTCGCTGCTCAGGCTGCGCCCCTCGTCCTCGTAGTTGATGGAGATCTGGCCGGAAGGAGGAAAGCAGAGGAAGATTAAGGATGTGCAGCAAGGGGGGTACATGTAAATGGCCGTGGTGGTGGTGTGCAGCGGCGGCCCTGCTCCTGCCCCCTGCCCTCCCCACCCAGCCCGCGCCCCACCCTGCCCCTCCCCCCACCCCATCGCCCCACCTGCCCAACCCTGTCGCTCATGCCGTAGCGCGTGACCATGGCGCGAGCCAGGCGCGTGGCCTGCTCCAGGTCGGAGGACGCGCCCGTGGTCACATCCTTCTCGCCTGCACACGGCCAGGCAGGGTAAGGCCCGAGGAGGGTTGGGGAGCGGGAGCGGTGTGGGTGTGGGAGCGCCCCAGAGAGGCACCCAGCACCATGCTGGCCCATGTCTCCTGCTCTGTCAACCTGCCCCAACCTCCTCCAAACCCAGGTAACCCCCCCCCCCCTGGGCCGCGCCCCCCACCCACCAAAGATGAGCTCCTCAGCCACCCGCCCCCCCATGCACACATCCAGCTTGGCCAGCAGCTGGCGCCGCGACACGCTCGTCTCGTCGTCAGTCTCGGGGAGCTGCGTGACCATCCCCAGCGCCATGCCTGCAGGGCACGGGCAGGAGGGATGGAGGGAGGGCGGGAGGGGAAGCTGGAGGGAGCAGGGGCAAGCATGAGGGAGCAGCGGTGTGCCGTGGGCAGGCATGCTCGGTGCTGTTGGCGCTGGGCGGTGCCCGGCCCCAGCCAGCAGCGTGCGGATGCGCCCCGGCAGGGCGCCGCGGGCGCCCACCCCACCTCGTGGCACCACGGTGGCCTTGTGCACGGGGTGTGCGCCGTCTGTGTAGAGCGCCACCAGCGCGTGCCCCCCCTCGTGGTACGCCGTCAGCTTGCGGTTCTTCTCGCTGATCACGGCTGCGCGGCGGGCAGGGCGGGGCGGCGGGATCCCTGAGACGGCCACCACGGGGCTGAGCATGCAGGGAGGCCGCAATGTACCTGCCCGCTGCAGGCCCCAGCTCGGCGCCTGCCCTAAACCCCCACCCCGCCCATCCACCCGCACCACCCCAGCAGCGGCACCACCCCAGCACAAGCGGGTCTGCCCACCCGACTTGCGCTCCGCGCCCATGATGATGCGGTCCTTGGCGTACTCCAGGTCGCCCATGCCCACAGACACGTGCCCGTCGCGCGCCGCCTTGAGCGCCGCCACATTCACCAGGTTGGCCAGGTCGGCGCCGCTGAAGCCGGGGGTGCCCTTGGCGATGACCTGGCGCGGCGGCGGGGGTGGTGGTGGCGCGAGGGGCAGGTCAGGTGTGGGCATCGCGAGGGTGGGTGGCAAATGAGCGTTGCCCATCGGCCCATGCGTGCTGCCCCCACGCCCATCATCATCCCACAGTACCACCACCGCAGCCAAGCCAGCCCCACGGCAGCCCGCCCACAGCAAGCAGTGCACCAGCCAGCCACCACACACCACACCACACCACACCACACCACACCACACCACACCACACCACACCACATCACCCCCCTGCACACCACACCAGCCCAGCCGCCACACCTTGAGGTCCACATCCGCGGCCCGCGGTATCTTCTCAAAGTGCACCTCCAGGATCTGGCGCCGCCCCTCCACATCCGGGTTGGGCACCACCACGTGGCGGTCAAAGCGGCCGGGCCGCACCAGCGCCTTGTCCAGGCTCTCCGGGAAATTGGTGGCGGCGATGACAATCACGCCTGCGCCGGGGGGGCAGGGCAGGGCAGGCAGGCAGGGGCACGCGTGTAGGGGGCAGCGCCAGTGATTGCATCGCAGAGCGGGGGGCTGTCGGTGGCCTGCATGGGCGAGCCAGCCCGCCAGGCAGCAATGGAAAGCAGGCGTGCGCTCTGCTCTGATCGCGCGGCGGCGCGGCGCACCCTCGCTGGGCTTGAATCCGTCCAGCTCCACCAGCATCTGGTTGAGCGTCATCTTCATGTACTGCTGGTCCTTGGGGTTGCGGCTGCCGCCTGCCAGGGGGAGGGGGGAGCCGCCGGGTGGGCCGTTGCGGGCAGGATGGGCACGAGGGCAGGCCAGCCACAGCCTGTAACACGCAGGTCGGGAGCCACAGCAGGCAGGGTCCCCAACGTTCACGCCCCACCACCCACCACGCCCCGCCACACCACCACACCACCACAACCCACCAATGGCGTCTATCTCGTCGATGAAGACGATGCAGGGGGCGTTCTTCTTGGCCGCCGCAAACAGGTCGCGCACGCGGCGCGCCCCCACCCCCACAAACATCTCCTCAAACTCGGAGCCGGAGGTGTAGAAGAAGGGCACGCCCGCCTCCCCCGCAATCGCGCGCGCCAGCATCGTCTTGCCCGTGCCTGGAGGGCGGCGAGGGCAGGGGTGCACAGGTGATGACGGGAGGGACAGGGCGTGGGATGTGGGCGGGCAGCGTCCACCTCGCTCCTTCCCCTGCAAACTGCCATCCGGCCCAGTGACGGCCCCCTGTGCTGGCGTAGCTCAGCCAGCCGGCCCTTCACTTAGCTGCCGTTGAGCCGCCCAGCCACCCACCTGGCGGCCCCACCAGCAGCACTCCCTTGGGCAGCTTGCCGCCCAGCGAGGTGAACTTGTGGGGGTCTTTAAGGTACGCCACAATCTCCTCCAGCTCAGACTGCACAGCGGGGGGGGCAGGTGGGGACTCAGGGGCCGGCGCCCAACCATTGAAAAAATACACACGTCACACACACGCCGCCAACAACACAACCCCCAATCGCGCACACACACATCGCCACCACACACCTTGGCCTCATCCACCCCCTTGACGTCAGCAAACTTGGTGGTGGTCTCAGACTGCGGCCGAAGGTCTGGGTTGTTCAGAATGCTGCGGCTGCTGCACCACACAGCGGGGCGGCGGGGGAAGCACGGGGTTGGGGCAGGGCAGCGTGCATGGAGGCACATCGCCAGCATGACACACAGGCAAACGACAGACAGGTGTTGCAGCATGCAGGTCGTGCTGGCGAGGGCAGGCAGGCGCGGGCGCTGGGCACCCACCTGAGCCCCCGCTCCTCCACCATCGCCCCAAGCCCCGCCATCAGCAGGAAAGCTAGGCCCAGCATGCGCACGCTGCAGGCAGCATCAGGGGCAGCAAATCAGTAGCGACAACAAGCAAGTCAGCAGCAGGCGCGGGCAGCGGCAGATGCAGCAGGCGGCAGCACTGGCGCTGGGCAAGGGAGAGCAGATGGGCCACCACAAGCGGCGCACGCCAGCACACCTGCGCCACAGCTGCGACCAGAAGGTGGGCTCCGCCTGCATCATGTAGATGGGGTTCTTGGCTGAGCCCAGCGCGGTCCCCGCAGCAGCCGTCGCGCCCAACGCCGCCGGCTCCAGCAAGGCGCCGCCCATGCCCGGCAGCGAGAAGCCCTGCGGTCGCAGCGCCGAGGCGGCAAAGCCGCCGCCGCCGCCACCCTCTGCCGCCGCCGCGCGCGCTGCAAAGCTGGGCGCCGCCGCCGCCGCCGCCCCCTGCTGGCCCATGTAGCTCTGCGCGCCGCGGTACAGCGTCTGCATGAGGGCGGTACTGTTCAGCTTGTCCGTCTTGGCCAGCGCCTTGACATACTGCCCAAACACCTCCTCCGTCGCCGCCAGGCGGTCGCTCTCAAACAGCTGGATCACGGCGTCGTGCTGCCCGGCGCGGTTCAGCTCGCGCAGGTGCTGCGCCTGCACACGGTGGAGCAGCAGGCACAGGCCAAGAGGTCGCAGAGGCAGCACCACCAGAGGTGAACCAGTGGCCACTTGCTCTGCTCGCTCTGCGCGGCGACACTGACGCTGACGGCCATGCTGCCCTATCCAGGACATCGCCTGGC